ATTTGTATATGAAACAGCATGTTATAAGCATATGTCATAAAAAACTTTATTATCGTCATGGCTACCAAAACTACTCAACAAGTAACGATACCATAGAAAGATTTGAAGTATTTCTCTTTTAATGCAATTTTGGCCAGTTTACGCAAATTTCTTCAATTTTCTTCGAAGAAATAGTTTAATGGTAAAAATATTACCTGTCTTATGGTTGTAAATGTTATGTATATCATATAGATGATAATAACACATACCAAGTTGTTAATATCACCTTCCATATTTAAATATATAAGCCACCAAATCATAATAATGCAGGAAATAAATCAGACTCATATGTAAGAGCTGCAACTAGGTGAAGGTTTTGCCGGAGACTAAGCAAGCATAGCTTTACTACCTCTTATTCAGAGTTTAATTTTGTAGGCTGCCGGTATTTTTGCAAAGATGGCTAATAACAGAAATATGTAATATCATAAAACAATTATGAGTAGGCATTAAAATTTACCATTTTTTAAATTAATATATCCTAATATCAGGTAACCATATTGTCTGAGATCGTATGTGATGATCTTCGGAAATCAACCAAGGCGTGTCTGGCTTACGTGATGATATCAGAACTGACGATTACCTATACCTTACCTGGGACTGAAAGTAAAATAAGCATCAGTAATTACAGATTCCACAGGACAATTCAAAGTTCACACATCAGTCTTTATATATTTATATCCGTTCATTGTCCATGGTTAAGAAGTGCAAATTGTCCAGAGAACCGAATAACACGAGCCAGGTATTTTGCGAGTCAGACTTTCCTAAGCGAAGCAAGAGATGATGTAAATAAGAGTGGATGGCGATCTAAAGAAAGGGTGTGCTAAATTCACTATCAGTCTGTAATTTTGAAAAGAGCTAGAACAAAGATTTTAGCAGAATAGCATGAATTCATTTTATTTCGTAGGTTCTCATCAGCTGCTTACAACCTGTTATATTTATAAATCATAATAAGATAATGAGTTTAAATGACTTAAATGAGAGGGTTTTGTTAGAAGTTATATAGAAGACATATTCGTATAGTGTAGCAAGGGTGTAAATGAAATTAATATACTGAATATTCTTTCACATTAGGTATATATTTACAATATTCAGTATATTAATTTCATTTACACCCTTGCTACACTATACGAATATGTCTCCTATATAACTTCTAACAAAACCCTCTCATGTGAGTCATTTAAACTCATTATCTTATTATGATTTATAAATATAACAGGTTGTAAGCGGCTGATGAGAACCTACGAAATAAAATGAATTCATGCTATTCTGCTAAAATCTTTGTTCTAGCTCTTTTCAAAATGATAAAGGGAACTATGTGTATGAAATTTCTCAATCTGTAATTGTAAACCGATTTCTGTTTTTATATTAGTTCCTGGTAAATATTTATACCTAAATAATTATTTCCTGTCTACCATATTTTCAGCTGACTTCCCAAGTGTTTACAGACCTAACTGAAAGTTTTTATTTCAGCAAACATTGTTATATCATTGGTACGTATTGTGAATTCATAGATTGAATAATGGCTATGACATAGGGCATCCATTTGTCTACTATAAGCTATTTGGCTGTTCTGATACTGGATTTTCGATACAGAAGAGTGACCTTTTTTCTTTTTGCAGAACACTGTGAATGAAGGTTTAACACCAACCTGATGTATTTAACCAAAACGCATAAGTAATTCTTATGAATCATAAGTTATTTATTAATGAATAATTTATGCTTGTTCTAAACTTTATAAACATTTTCATTAAAAACTCATCAGTTTTATAATTACGACAATACTTATCTATCGTGACAGGCCGAAATTCGACCTAGTAACTCAGTACACCATGTTTAGGGTTGCAGTATTTGGGACACTGTCTGCATGGCTAATCGCTTGTGCGCCAAACTAGTAATTGTTAAACATGAACCCGAACCAACATTTCTATGTTTTGCAGCCACATAAGACTGCACAGTATACTCGCCTTGCCGTAGCGCTGTAAGATCAAGTTAAAGGGCATATAAATGAATTTGTGTAATATCAAAAAGATTACAATATTAGAACTTCTTGTTATCAGGAAGCATATCTATGGTCAGTGAGAACAGTGTATTCTGACGATGTAGCCTCATCGTTATCACCGATTTAACTCACAACTTGTGCACCTATGTCTTCCGATTCCTTGAGGTACGAACGGATAAGTTTACTTGCCAGAGGTTCCATAAGAGCATTGATAGAGTGGTATTTAGTAGTGAACTTCTTTAGCAGATCTTCATTCTTAGTAGAGATTGACATGTTGTCAAATGCACAAAAAACCACGTCCATTATGTATTGTCTTGTCCACTGGTTGCTATGTCGAAATAAGTTTGCAACGTTTACAGAGAAAAAGAAACACACACCTCCACGAATTAGATCCTTAAAATATGTATACAAAATATAATCACAGGGTAGCATGTAGTCATTAAAACGCTCATAAGCACATCGTGCACGTGAAGTATCAACAACATACATCATACCCCTGTCCTAGCAGCGGTTGTATTCTCCTGCTATAAATTCGTGTCTCATTTTCCTAACGCGTTTATAATGCAAAGCTACAATTTTAGCTGCAAAAGATGTGAACTCATTTAAAAGAGTTCGAAATGACATTGCAACCTGAAATTAATGGTGCATTTAACTATATTTCTTACTTCAAGCATTGGAGAACGTTGAAGATCCTTTATAGCATCGTATGGACGCATAAGTAAGTTGGTGTCTGTTTTACTCCAAATTTTCCAGAACGTCAATAAAAGGGGATCACTACTTCTGAGACGTTCTTTTAAGTGTTTGTGAGCACGTTCGACACGATATTTTATGCGTTTACCCAGGTTAGGTGCTTGCCGCCGGTAACGGCGAGCCCACATCGAGCAAACCAGTTATCTCTTATATGGGTGTGGAAAATGGGTTCTTAAGTGTTCGTACTTTCGAGCAAATCTGAATATAATGCGTTATGAAAAGCGAAGCTCGCATGTCAGGTCGCCTGGTTTTTACAAGATGTTCCATCGGGATTTCTAAACTACAGTAAATTATTTGTACAGTTGACATTTACCTTCCTGAGAAATGTTCTTAAGATGAGGAACAAACACAACATTATGTTGGCACGACTGTGCGTAGACTATACCACGGAAATTTCGGTCTAGGTCGAACCCATAACGAGAGTGCGTGTGCCATAAGTACCGCACATTATGTCTTTGAAGAATTACAGTAGTCTTATGACATCTTCGCGTCGTTCTCGCCTGCAAAGAGCATACATAACAGTGTGCTCTTGCCCAAGACTATCAGTAGCTACTAGCTGGAACAGTGAAAAACTAAGGTAAATTTATTACTATTCGTCACCTACCCAACTTTGTTGGTCCGATAAGTCGAGTCAATATATACTATCTCTGGGAACGCGTGGTAAACAGCTATTTGCTTCATGCGGCTGAAGCAAATCATAGATGAGCTCCAATATTCACTGAACATCTTCACTTCAATGTCTGCTTTAACGGATTGTAAAATGTCATTGATATTTTTAGTGCCCAAATTAAATTAATTAGAATGTGAGTTTAACAATTTGGGTACAATTGTGGTCGCATCTCGGCGATATCGTCCTTGATAAGCTGTTTATGGAACTCAAGAAACCGGATGCCGTAGGCAACGAGTTGGCGTACTACTCAATAGAAACGGTCTTAAATGTAATAGTTCACTTTACATCAACTGTCGCCTTGAAGGGTCTACAGAAATATATCCCTCTGCACAAGGATGACTGTCCACGGTTTTTATAGAAGTGACTGTTAGCTCACTATTTGCTGCACAAACCGAAAATCCAGATCGACAGTGGCAATATTTCAACCTGAAGGATAAATTAATTCGTAGATTAATTAATACGTAGATGATCAACATCGTCTTCTTTGTCTAGATTGTGGTGATAAGTTCGAAGTTGTACACTCTTCGGGAGAATAATGATCACTATCATCATTTACATAGTGAAGACAAGCATAAGATTATGACGAACTGAGTTTGCATACATATGTACAGACATATCTGAAGAGAAAATACTTTAGAGTTGGGTCATCATTGTTTATTGTACATGTAGTGGCATTGGGCCCTACCACGAGACAATGTGAGAAATAGACATTAAATTTTAACGCGGAGGAATACAGAAGAATGGAGAAGGCGGGAAGAAATAATTGAATTAGTCCGAGTTGATCGGATGGCATGGCTCGGCCCTGCAGGCGTGGTCCCTGCAGAATGTTATCTTGTATCTTCTATTCATATTAAATATATTCCATCTCTAGCCTAAGCTTGTTCTCTATCACGTATTGGTAATTGTTACAATGCAATAAATCGGTGTAGATGATGATGTAACTTCCACGTAAGATCTTATAGATTAGGCAGTTACATCATGATAAATCTACAATTTTAGGATTAGGTCTATTATTAGAGCAATGCTAATATCATAGTAGACCATAATGTTACATACATACTGACATAACGTACTTGGTATGTGTATACTTTTAAAATACCAATCAACCACAGAAGTCATATTACCTTATGTTTTCGTGCCTCTTGGTAACCCCCGTGTTATTATTAGAAGAAACTAGAGTAGTAGGGAATAGGTCTTTCTTTTGATCTCAGTGCAGTCACGGTGGAGCATGGGATTCCTTGATCAGACAAAGAAAACCTCTCAACATTCAGTATAAGATGATTAGAAATGTCATGCCTATACAAAATAAAGAAGTGAACGGATATTTGAAATATGCTGTTTTGACATATGCTTAGTTGCTTGAGGTCAACTCTTGACCAATCGACCTAAGCTGTTACATTAGCTTCCTCCTAGAATTGACTTCCGTAGGAACGTCGGTTCAATAACCTGTCTATCAAAACCATTTGAGTTCTGTTTCCGCAGCCCAAAAAGGAAATATCTACTCGCTCATTGTGACTTCAAATCAATGACGACAAACTCCGTCGGTGATCGACGATAGTCCATGGATGTCTCTTCATTTGCCAACATGTCATCTTATTTTGTAGCATGCAATTTCTACTACAACTATCGCTGACGGTTTTCTACGTGCTCGCAAGAGAAAGAGTGCAAAAAATGGAACAAGAATGTCTGAGGAAGTGCCGCGAGCGGGCTACCCAACACCATGTTGGTGAGGTACGATTTTTGCATGCTCTGTCTGACTATCAAGTGTTTACTCACTTGCCTCTTGAGTCGCCCTCAAGTAACAAGTAAAGAGTCTACTTCAAAGGTAATGATGAAAATCAATAAAAAAATGAAGAACTGCTCCTTTGCCTGCATAAAGTAATGAAGTACAAAATGGAAATACATAAATATAATTGATAATTGTTCGGTTCCACGTAAGTGTTTTGCCTCCAGAAAGAATTGGTCGTCTGGGAGAAAATAGACATAGTGCAGACATCTTGTGTGCAAAAAAGTGTAAAAACAAATAAAAAAATACTCTTTTCGAATGCAAATATGTAAATGTGTGAATTCACCAGAAGTTGGACTCCTCATTAAACCTGACCAAATGTATGACCTTGAGCCTATGATGACCGCTTTTTATAACCGGGTACGTAACCAAGGGTGCGTAAGAGTAATGTATAAAACGGAAAATATACGGTTTTAAAAGAAAAATAATTATAAAGAGTCTGAGGATTAAATACAATTTTGCCAAATACTTTTTTCGGGTTTCATGTAGGTATGCAAACACAGCCAGCTTGTTTGCATAGTTTTGAATCGAGACAAGCACTGCCTGCACTTGTTGGGGAAGCTTAGGCAAGAAAAGTTGTCTAAATAGTCTTTCATCAAAGGTTCTTTGACCGATGACTTCTCTCATTCGTAACAAATGTCTGTTGCTGAGCCATGTTGTAGATCGATGTTACTGGGGAATTGATCTAACCTTTGTCTTCAGTCTTCAGTAATAAGGATAGTAGGTTAGTGAACCTGTGTTAATCCTAACAAGTTGGCTTCCAGTGAAGGTCCAGTTTCTCTTTGAAAATATTCACTGATGGGGCTGATACCACTTGACCGGGCAAAGCGTTCCAATCATTGACTACTCGATGAGAAAAACGTAACCCCACCTTGAGTTTATTAGATCGTGGTTTATGAACCTTCTTGCTATGACCTCGGAGATTATTAGTGCTGGAGGCAGCGAAAAGATAAGACATATTAACACCCAAATCATAATTAAAGATACGAAATGCCAGTATAAGGTCACCTCGAGTCCTACGATACGACAAGGGGAAAAGGTTTAAGCGTTTTAAACGCTCATCGTAAGGGAGTTTAGAAAGACCCTTCACTAATTTCGTTCCCACACGCTGGACACGCTCAAGTGAGGTAGTATCCTTTATCAGACATGGGCTAGCTGCTTGGATACAGTACTCTAAATGTGGTCTTACATAGGTGGGATATAAAATTCGAAACATTTCCTCGTCGAATGATTTGAACGCTCGGCGAAGTGACCACAACGCACGAAAACCTTTGACAGCGACTGCGTTGCAGTGCGCAGTTGTTTTTAAATCATGACTTATTATTACTCCTAAGTCTTTATGTTCTTGAACGCATGGAAGAGGTTTACCATCAATAGTATAATGGTAACTATTGCCGTGACCGATATGCATTAGCACACTCTTCCTAGAATTGATTTCTGAACCCCAATCTCGAGCCCATCTAACTAAATCGTCTAAGTCAGCTTGAAAATCCAGATGATCAGCCTCACCTCTTATTGCTCTCCATATTTTGACATCATCCGCAAATAATAATGTCGACGACCTAAGCAACAGCGGTAATTCATTTACATAGAGAAGGAATAGCAGAGGGTCTAATGTGGTGCCTTGGGGTACACCACTTTTGACCGGCTTCCAATCGGATAGCGTCCCATTGACCCTCACTCTCTGTCTGCGGTCACGTAAGAAGTTTCCTATCCACTCCTGTACAGTACCTATTATTCCGAAGCTTGTGAGCTTCTGCATAAGACCTGAGTGTGAAACCTTGTCAAATGCTTTGCTAAAATCTATGAATATAACATCGACAGACAGACCTTTATCTAGGGCTGCTGTCCAATCCTCTCTCGCAATAAGTAAGTTAGTCAAGCATGAACGCTTATCACGAAATCCATGTTGCTCAGGAGCTAACAGATTGTGTGAATCTATGTGGCTTAGCAACCTAACCCGAATTATCTTTTCAAGTAACTTAACGACAATGCTAGTCAGACTGACAGGTCGGTAGTTAGATACGATCTGTCTCTGACCATCCTTAAATATAGGACTGACAATAGCATCTTTCCGATCCCTAGGTAGTTGAGCGAGTGAAAGGGACATGTTAAAGAGTGTCGCGAGCGGTTTTGAAATAATGTCTGCAAGAGATGACAGCAGTCGTGGATGTAACCCGTCAGAACCCGGTATCTTACAGGGTTTGAGGTTAATTATTAACGGAAGGACAGTTTCTTCAGTCACCTGTACAGATTCAATGGCTGGTATCTCGGCGTGATTGGGACAAGTATTTGTTACAATAAACGTAGAGTAGACTTCGCTAAAGTAGTTTGAAAATGTCTCAGCTTTTGCTCGATCTGATTCAGCTAGTAAACCTGAATTATCGTGTAACAATAATGGGGGAATACTATCACTACGTTTTATTTGCCGTTTAACATACGAAAACAATCGTTTTGGACAAGTACGGCTATCATATACGAACTGTCGTTCGTAAGCAATACGGGATTTAGCTATTGTTTACTTACAAATATTCCGGAGTTTTTGGTACTCACGCTTAAAAGATGCATGACCTGTCAACAAGAATAAGTCCCAGAAGTGTTTCCTACGCTTTAACAGCTTACGGGTTTCCTTATTAATCCATGGAGGGCAATGCGATAGCTTACGTGCTGACCATGGGATAAACGGCGACGTTACGGACTCGAATGTAGCCTTAAACTTAATCCATTCGTCTTCGATCGATCCATCTGCGTCAACCGACCAATCAGTAGAGATCGCACAGTTTCTGATTGCCGGAATATTAGCTCGCCAGATATTGGGACGGGGTGGAGCGGATAAAAATCGTATACCATGTGTCCTAAACTTAAAGTGAAGTACAACGTGATCACTGTTCACTAGTGGAGGAAGGTGCTGAATATCAAAGACGTCCTCACAGTGGTGGGTGAGGGCGAGGTCCAGCAGTGACGGATCACGTTTCAAATCAATATGTGTCGGTTTAGTGATACATTGGACAAGTGCACACTGAATAACTGTTGATAAAAGTTCTCTATCGAAACCTCCACCTGGAGCTGTAAGCTCTATCCAGTTTATGTGCGAAGCGTTGAAGTCCCCAATGATGAGGCAACATTCTGCCATACTCCAAGAACAGATGTGTCTTAAGATAAAGTCGTCAGCAAGACAACACGGACTACGGTATATTCCACCTATAGTCACTAACCCATTTCTAGATTTAATCTTACAACATGCTACCTCACATGTACCACTAACATGAGCCTCCGATATGATTGATTGTATACGAAAGTGGTCCCTAATGTATAACATTATGCCTCCCCCCTTGCGGCTTAAAACTCTATCACTTCTAATACAGATATAGCCTGCAATGATGGGAGAACATTCTATATCTACGGTGAACCAAGTTTCTGTAATGACAATTATATCGGGACTTAATTCATCCACCATCAGACTTAGCTCGGACGTTTTATTCCTAAGACTACGGGCGTTCGTGTAGCATACACTTAAGGTGTTTTGGTAATCGTTCGTTCTACCCATACAGGCCTCGGAAGCATTGGCTTCCAAGACCTGACTACCCGAAAACCCTTAATGGTAAGGTTAGTTTTGCCATTTAACTTCCGAGTTCTCAACTCCGTAAGAGCATTCTTCCACTTGATTCGATCCTCAAGCGGCCAGTCTGGTCGCGTACGAATATTTGAATCACGAATTTTTTGTGCGTTTTTCAATAATATATCTCTTTCTTCGAAATTCCCGAGAACCAGCTTCAAGATCCTTCTTGGTTGGGTCTCGCCTCCAACCCATTCACCGAGTCGTATCACTTTCGTGATATGTATCCCTGAAACCTCTTCAGGTAGTACGTTTCTTACCACGGATTCCACTAACTGCAAATCATGTGCATGTCTCTCAGTAGGGACATTGTCCATCAACTCCTCTAGATTCCAAAAAATCAAACTAGAGAGTGGTTTAGCTTCTTTTGGAATCGTGTTTACAGCTATCGATCGTGAACTTACATCCTGCATATTAACTACTGGTATCTTACGATTAGTTTTTATTGTAACAGAGTCATTGGAGTCGAGCGAGTGACTCACAACAATGTTTGACGAGGCTTTACTTTGGGACTTTGGCGGAGTGGTCTGAGAGTCCACCAAAGACTTATCAAGTAAACGGTCCTTACTTTTAGCTGTCTTTCCTACTCTTCTGCGTTTACACGTCATCCATATTCCGTCAGCCGTAGCATCTACATCGGAACTGCTCGGGACAATAATTGTTTTATCTGGATCACTAGTTGCTGCTGTAGCAACATGGCCACCAATATCTAATGAGGTGTCACTCATTGATTGTTTCGAGGTAAAAATTTTGATCTCGGGTTGCGCAGTTAGATGTCCGACTTGCGCCGTGACAGCACTTACGACACTAACGCGATCTTCGCTATCAGCACCAATATTGTCGATCGTTTAAACCTCCGCGTTTACGACTAGACCTTTTCAGACCTTTGCAAGTTTCAGAGACATCACTAGTGAACATACTAGGTGTGATGTACCTGTTCAAATCATGCAGTAGTTCCTTCACTATTGTGAGGAATTGCGCAAGTGGTTCTAAGACGACATCGTCGTGGAAGTCAGCTTCTGCGTAGCAGAACGAGGTTTCAATTTTATCAGGCCAGAATGGCATTAGCTGGAATGAGGTTAGTGTAAGAGTCTTGATCTTAAGTAACTTAGGGGTCTGTTCAGTGATGACGAATATAAAGTATAAGAATGAACGAGAGAAAAAACATCCACAAATATGCGAAAAAATATCATGTGTAAATATTAAAGTAAAGATATGACATAAAAAGTTCCCGTAAGGAAGAGACCCACAGTTTGCGAATAGGTGTACCAGATCACGTCGGGCTCACCACTAAAGATGTCAAAAGTATTTAGAGTTTAACAACACCTATAGTCGAAACGTGCCAACCGAGTGAAACTAGAAACTAAGAGGTTCGAAGATATATTTGATAGAATATCGATATATCAAGAAGTGACTAGCGTACTCGTGGTCTGGTGCGGATGCGTGACCGAGCGCCTTCAGCTGAGTCCATCAACATTAATGCGATCAGCACCAAATATCGAAGACTTACAGAGCTATTGATTTCGAGTATTTATTTACCGCTTTATCTCTGTTATTGTCAGATTTTCAAATGTTTGTTTCTCAAAACCACTAACACTATTTTGATGAATAATTCACCGCTAGATTAAACTTGCACTGATCTTCAATTAACTTGTAATATTGGGTCCTGTGATTCTGGAAGTACAACTGTCTTTTAGTGGGTTATCTGTAGTCTGTAGTGGCGAAACTGTGATTTTACGAAGGCCTCTTTCGAGTTCCAATATACTGGAGTATACTCTTTAGGATACAACCCGCAAAATTAATAATTTGTCAACTAAAATCTATATTCCAAAATAGATGGCCGTACACATGGGTGCGTTGTAAGTAAGTGGCTTGTCTGGTTATCTTATATATGCTTATATATTTGAAAATATAGATATTTCTATTTGAATTCTTGTCAGAGGTACCAAGATGGTGTTGTACCACGCCTATATAATGGCCGTCTTGCACTTTACGAAGATTACCAGTCTTTTGGTGTAGGTTAGAAGCCGCTCAAATCTTGTGACTCGAGGTCTAAATTCAATATCGTCATTACATGATAATTTAAGTCTTTTTAAATAATTGATTATAGTTTTCATCATAATCCTGTTTTAAAACTTTTAGATATCTGATAGTGGATGGGCATCCTGTTCATCTGATTGAGTCCAAGATACTCATTTGTTTTATGGTCTTTGATATTCTTCTCAACGTTTCAAGTTTTGCTTTCCCTAACTGATGGAGGATGACTTACAGCGTAAAGTCATCAAACAACGTTTAAAGCAGTTTTATGGAAGTGATACAAACAACTCACTGGTTGATCAGAATGATCCCTTAAATATTGACAGTCCATCCTTCGATCCACAGTTGTACTTGGATAGAAGTTTTAAGACTAGAGACCTTTCTGACCTAATATCCGAAGAAAAGGCCTTAACTGATCAAATTCGCAGTCTGGATTCCGACATGCAAACTCTAGTATATGACAATTACAGCAAATTCATTAGTGCGACCGACACCATTAGGATGGTAGGCCTTATTTTTTCCAGGAAACAAATAATTTTTAGATGAAATCTAATTTCAGCTTCGTCCAGGCCGAAATGAATTCATTACTTCAAAATATTGCCTCCATTGTTTCAGTTTCTGGTGCGATTAATGGAAATTTAGCTGACAAGAGAAAGAAACTGAGCACACTGACAACTACCCAGTTGACTCTAAACAAAGTAAGATCAAAAATTTGAGTAGATCTAACTAATGTCATGTTTTTCTAGCTAAACTACTTGGTTGAACTCCCAGTCAGCTTAAGGAAATATATGAACAAGTGTGATTGGGATCAAATTGTACTTGACCTTAATAAGGCGAAGTACATTTTAAAGAGTTATCACAATACTCCATCTTTTAAAAATATTCGAGAGGACTGCGCTGAGATAGTATCGGAAATTTGTTCGAAACTATGGCGTCAATTTGATGAGTCTGTAAGTTGTTGATTCTATAATTATTTTCCAGAGAGATATAGCTGAGTGTTCTAATCGTCTAAAAATTCTGCAGCAGCTTGGTTTCTCGAGACTAAAATTGTCAAGAGCGATATTACGTTTGTGGGTAACAACATTTTAATTTTACTTGTTAGACTTTTGCCTATCATGCTATATTATTCAACTGAGTATTCACGCAAATTTTTGTTTGACAGGCTTTGTTAACATTCAGGGACTAAAGGTATACATGGCTCTATAAGATAAATTGACGCAGAAACTCTGGACTAACAAACACTCATGTTCAAAGTGATTACTAGCATTAAGATATCTTGTACAATAATTTCTTTCAGATGTGTGCCGTTGGGAGAAACATTTAAGTAGAGGCTATTCATATAAATTCAGTGCGTTATAAGATGTAGTTAAGTTTACCCCACCGTTCTATGTCGTAAGTTTGTTAAAATTATCATAAGACTCTCGATTTCGTTTGACTAACTGGACTTCAACTTTATGAGGCTTGTTTTTCTCCTCACGAAGGTTGTATTTACTAACGGTTTTACACTAATGGACAACTTATTCTTTCTTTTTAGGGCTAAACGTCAAGTATCTCAACGTTTAGCTTATATTAAGACTTTGGTGTGTGAAGGAGACAAGCGAAGTGTTCAGAGAGAAGAAACTGCTGGTTCTGCTGAAAACATTGCGAATCCATTTGTCCAAGAGTCTTCCTCTGAAGAAATGGTAGGGTACTATGTATTTATTGGCCAGTTATTTTTGAATTACATTTTAGAGCATATGAAAAGATCGTTTATATGTCACTCCCGGGGTAATAAATATGAAGCAGTTGATAGAAAAGGTCGAAACTATGTTGAGCAGTCACGTATTTGGTGATGCACTTGTTTTTGACACTTAGTATGAAAAGCCGACATGAGTATGGGTTGGTTGTTGTTTCTTGATATCTGATCATAACTGAGATAGGGAATATTTACAACATGAGCAATGAACTTTTAGGATGAAGTATCACTTTCATCTTCACTGCTTCAGTGTTGATTATACTTAAAAATCCCCGTCTAATTCAAAGAAATGTTCAAGTTTCATGAGTTACGTGCACCTTTAAATAATGAGCCCTTACGTGAATGCATTCATTAGGTTCCTTTCACCAACTTAAGTAAAGCGAATTTTAATGAATTCATTTTATTTTACGGCTTTACTCTCACCTTTATGCAAGCTAGTAATAGTTCATTCGGAATTTCAACAAAGATTAATATAGTTGAAAATTAGGAAGTGAATTGTCTATCAGTAGCTTGTAATGGTTTAGATTATAGTGGTTGTCGATTGTTGACATCCTTTTAATGATTATAAAGAATTCGTCGACGTTTTTCAGTATGCGTAATCTACCATATAAGCTTGATACTCGAATTTCTACCAAATGACTGGAATCTTATCCAATTTATCATATATTCTATCTTCTATGAAAAAAGGTGGTGGGAAATAGAAACTAGTACGTTAGACCACCGTATTATTCGAGAAGTTAGCAGATGAGGTTATGGAAAGTTTGGCGTTGATTGTGACTGATTGATTGACATTCCGCATAGCTCTTTCAGTTTCTCCCATTTTCGTTTCGCTGATAGACTAAATTGTTATAAGTTGAACTATAAATTGTGTTACATTATATAAAATAGCTTGACTATTTTGTTTAAAGGAAGATTAGTGAATATTTGTTACCTCATTATTGTAACAGTTAACGTAATTTATATAAAACTTTTTCTTTACACAGGACGTGTTATACTTCGCCAATCTCATAACGGATTCTGTCCTCATTAAGCTTTCTGAATTTATTGGACTACTGGCCGATTTTTATTTTACAAAGTCAGATGAAAGTGAACCTATGGATACTATTTTGTAAGTATGGCTTTTCAATCATAGACTTCAATCGCTAATGTTATTAAGTTTATAAGCAAAGAATTAAATAGTGATTGCATCGCCCGTATTACTTTCATTACATGCCGGAACCAATCGTATCTCTTACTGATCGTAAGATACTATCAGTTCGTGTTGAAATTTCTAGTTACCTGATTATATTTACACAGGATTAAGCCAAGAAACTGTCTTTTGTTCCTTCCATAGGGATATTATTTCTGGTAAAACAGAAAATAGTGCCTCAGAAACCGATGATGGTTCTTTTGAGGAAAATTTGTCAAGTTTAGTTGAAGAACTGATGCATGAATTTTTTATTTTGGTTCGAACTCGTTTTGAATCGGAGGTCAGTTTCCCAAGTATAAGTAATAAATGTTATTTTTCAGTATTCATGTTCGAAACATAAAGCCTTTTAGAAATTTTATAAACTTTGACTTATGTACAATAGCTCTTAGCGTTCCATATTTCCAAGTATTTTATTTCTCAAACATTACTTACTTACGCCTGTTACTCCCAATGGAGCATAGGCCGCCGACCAGCATTCTCCAACCCACTCTGTCCTGGGCCTTCTTTTCTAGTTCCATCCAATTCTTGTTCATTTTTCTCATATCTATCTCCATTTCCCGGCGTAATGTATTCTTTGGTCTTCCTCTCCTCCTTCGACCTTGAGGATTCCATATGAGGGCTTGTCTTGTGACGCAGTTGGGTGTTTTCCTCAATGTGTGTCCTATCCACTTCCAGCGCTTCCTGATTTCTTCCTCCACTGGGATCTGATTTGTTCTCTCCCACAGTAGGTTGTTGCTTATAGTGTCCGGCCAGCGGATCTGAAGTATTTTGCGTAGACAACTGTTAATAAACACCTGTATCTTTTGGACGATGAATTTCGTAGTTTTCCAGGTTTCCGCGCCATACAGTAGAACTGTCTTGACATTTGTATTGAAAATTCTGACTTTGGTGTTGGTTGCTAATTGTTTTGAGTTCCAGATATTCTTCAGTTGTAGATATGCTGCTCTTGCTTTGCCAATCCGTGCCTTCACATCTGCATCAGACCCACCGTGTTCATCGATGATACTGCCCAAATATGTAAAGGTTTTTACATCTTCCAAAGCTTCTCCGTCAATTGTGATTGGATTGGTATATGCTGTGTTGTATCGAAGAATCTTGCTTTTCCCTTTGTGTATATTGAGACCTATTGCTGCTGAGGCTGCAGCTACACTGGTTGTCTTCTCCTGCATTTGTTGTTGTGTATGCGATAGAAGAGCCAGATCATCTGCGAAGTCTAGTTCATCCAATTGCATCCTAGCTATCCACTGAATCCCGTGCTTCCCTTCAGATGTTGATGTCTTCATGATGCAGTCGATCACCAGGAGAAAGAGAAAGGGTGACAGTAAACAACCTTGCCTGACACCGGTCTTTACTTCGAACGACTTTGTCAACTGTCCTCCATGCACGATTTTGCAGTTTAATCCATCATAGGAATTCTGTATGATATTGACTATCTTCTGAGGCACGCCGTAGTGTCGAAGAAGCTTCCATAGGGTTGTTCTGTCCACGCTATCAAATGCTTTTTCGTAGTCGATGAAGTTGATATAGAGTGATGAATTCCATTCAATTGATTGTTCCACAATGATCCGTAGAGTTGCGATTTGGTCTGTGCACGATCTATCCTTACGGAATCCTGCCTGTTGGTCTCGAAGTTGGGCGTCTACGGAGTCCTTCATCCTGTTTAACAATACCCTGTTGAAGACTTTTCCTGGTATTGAAAGAAGAGTGATTCCCCTGTAGTTGTCACAGTTGCAGAGATCGCCTTTCTTTGGTATTTTGACTAGAAGTCCTTCTTTCCAGTCTTTTGGTACCTGTTCCTCATCCCAGATCTTTCTGAAGAGAGTTTGGAGTATCCTTGCAGTTGCCGCTACGTCTGCTTTCAGTGCCTCTTCTGGAATGCTGTCTAGTCCTGCTGCTTTGCCACTCTTGATTTGTCTGATAGCCATGCTGATCTCTTCAATTGTTGGTGCGCCAACATCAATTGGGAGGTCCGTGAGTGCTGCTTCGATGTTGGGTGGGTTCAGTGGGGCTGGTCGATTCAAGAGTTCTTTGAAGTGTTCTACCCATCTGTTTCGTTGTTCTTCAATGTTGGTGATTATCTTGCCTTCCTTGCTTTTCACTGGTCGTTCTGGTTTACGGTGATTTCCAGAGAGTTTCTTTGTTGTGTCATACAGTTGTCTCATGTTTCCTTCTCTGGCAGCCTTTTCCGCCGTCAATGCCAAATCCTCCACATATTTACGTTTGTCAGTTCTGATGCTCCTTTTCACTTGCTTGTTTACTTCTGTGTATTCAGCCTGTGCCTTGACTTTTTCTGCTCTTGTTCGACTGGTATTGATTGCTGCTTTCTTGTTCCTCCTTTCTTGAATCTTATCCAGTGTATCGACCGTGATCCAATCCTTGTGATGGTGCTTCTTTTGGCCCAGAACCTCATGACATGTTGAAGTGATTGCTTCTTTTATCTCTTTCCAGTTGCTCTCCATAGTAGTTCCTTCTCCATTGAGTAGATCATGAAAGGCCTTAAACTTATTGCTGAGGGTTATCTTGAATTTATTGAGTTTGTCAGTATCCCGAAGAAGAGCCGTATTAAATTTTTGTGATATTGTCCTCCCCGTTGTCCAGTGCCTCTTGAGTTTCAATTTCATCTTGGCGACCAGCAAGTGATGATCTGATGCTATATCAGCTCCTCTCTTTGTTCTCACGTCCTCCATCGTCCTCCTGAACTTTTTGTTGATGCAGATATGGTCGATTTGGTTCTGTGTGCTGTGATCCGGTGAAGTCCATGTGGTTTTGTGTATGCGTTTATGTGGGAATATAGTCCCGCCTATGACCAGTTTATTGAAGGCACATAGATTTGCAAATCTCTCACCATTTTCGTTCCTTTCTCCCAGTCCGTGTCGTCCCATGATCTCTTCATATCCGGTGTTGTCAGTTCCAACCTTGGCATTTAGGTCTCCCATTAGAATAGTCAGGTCTTTTGTTGGGCACTTCTCGACGATTGACTGCAGCCTATCGTAGAATTGATCTTTAGCGTCTTCGTTGTATTCGTTGGTAGGCGCATAGCATTGGATGACGTTCATTGTAATCCCCGTTTTCTTGGTTTTGAAGGAGGCTTTGATGATCCTTGGTCCATGAGATTCCCATCGTATAAGTACATTTTGTGCTTGTTTGGACAGCATCAATGCAACTCCTTGTGTATGTGGAGGATTTTCTTCATGTCCGGAGTATAACAGCAGCTCCCCTGAAGCTAGTCGTTGTTGTCCAACTTGCGTCCAATGTGTTTCACTGATCCCAAGCACCTCTAAATTGTATCTCCTCATTTCTGCAGCAATTTGGAAAACTCTCCCAGTCTCCCACATTGTGCGAGCATTCCATGTACCTAAATAAATGGTTGCTCTGGTTGTCAGAAGGGGCATCGGCCTCGTGACTTCCGAAGAAACTCGGCTTTCATCATGAGGCGTCATAATTCTTCTAAACGAAGACCTTCTGACTCCCAGGGCAGAGTTTAAATGGTTTGAATAATTCTTTCTGGTTAGCGTTTTTTTAGCGAGTTAGTTTTCTACGGGATGGGGTCGCTAACCCCATGCCCAACCCTCCTCCTTTATCCGGGCTTGGGACCGGCAGTAGCCCCCGGAAGGGGGCTCCAGGCGGAGTTATTTCTCAAACATGGGAGTATTTAATTAATTTATCTTGAACTATTCATGTAAACTTGTCAACACGCTCATCTGTTAAATGGTAACATTCTTGCGACTGATTGAATGATGGTTGTATTATGTTTAACATGACTAAGCGAACGTGATAGACATAAGGTCCTATGTCTTTTGTTAGAATCTTGTACCTGGATTTCCGGTATGTCGAATGGATCAATAAGGAGACTCTCCGTTGTTGTGAATAGATCTGTTTAATTTCCTAACCTTCCTCAAGATGTGGACGCGAAGATGGCAATTTCAAATACCTTGATTTGTTTCAGAATAGCTACATCAGAAGACACATCTGGGAACAGTCCTCTGGTAACAAGCACATTTAGGATTAGTTTAGGGGAACAGAATCCCTATTAAAGATGGGCTGCTGAGTAAAATGAAGATTAAAGTGAGATCGAGTACAAAACCAATGGAAATAAAATGTTTCAAGTAAATAGGATGATATGTAATAGATTTGTTTATGAGGAAATAATTATAGATTGTGAGCGTTTGTCTGTAAGGCTTGTAATTCACATTATTTGTAATTGTCATGGTTGGGCTTCAAGTTGTTATACTGCCCAGTTACCCAGATAGGAGAAGTTGGTTTTCTGAAGTTACCACCTAAGGGGTTAATCTAGAGGACAATATGGTATATGAACCTCTAGTTTGGGGTCTGAACTTAAATTTTATTGGTGATCTCCCTATCACTCAACCATATCTTTCATATTCTCTCACTTTTTAAGGAACACTGCCACATTAAGGATCGAGTAGAACTTCCCTATAAGGGGTTATGAATGTAAACTTTGAGAGGAACGGTGGGATTTTTCCTTTTACCAGGACATTTGAAGACCACATTTATTCCCATTTATCACAAAGCTTTTCGTACTGACCGATATCCAGTATTATTTTCATCGAGTATCCTCAGTGCTTACAAATTGTTACATCTTATTGCTATAATTATTTATTTACAATCGCCTTTTTAAATTTCTGTTTATGCTTCAATTTCTAGAGCACAAATAATGATGTCAATTTATTGATAAGAGCTTTGGATCGTATCCACTGTCGAGTACAGACCTTTAATCGGTCACTGTTAACATCAGTTACTTCTGTAGATTTTGAAGGTGTGCTATTGGATGATTTAAGTCCTGAATCTCTATCTATAGTGAATCGATTTTCTTTACTTACTAATCAGTTTTCAAACTCGGCTTTGGAAATAATTAATCAAGTTGCTCGAATGCAAACTACTTATTACTTTGATATATTATGTCAAAATGCAGTTGAATCATTTACGGATCTCCGACATAAACTGGCTAGTCATGGACTACAAACATCCAATTTAACTAACGAAGAAATCAACAAAGTGTAAGCCAAGCTATTGATTTATATTTGACGGGACAATTTCTTTTAACAAGAATTATTTCAATCTTATAATATGTCCAGAATGATTGTTTCGATGAATCCTATCGACAATGGATATCAACCTCATGATTTATTGTGCCCCAATCTTTAATCAAAGCTCAATCAGTGGTATCTGTTTTCGGAGTATCTTCTTATGTCTAAAGGATTTGGTTACAACTTTTTACCATAAAGTAGGTCATACATTCCAAGGTAACCGATTAGTCTTAAGTGTGCGGTAAGGAATACCAGCGTGATGTACTTTGATTGCAATCACTGGTTGGACGTCGATTGATATTTTCTACGGAGATACTTGCTATTTAAGATGCCTAAGGTTATTGGTTGTTCATGGAAGTTCTGCTGTCAGCTGGTTGGATTTCAATTCTAACCATACACAAACTAATTTCAGAATAAGCAGATAGATTAGTTTTAACCACTGCCTGGATTTATTGACTAGTAATTGACGATGCCTTTAACATGACAATCGAATGAATAGATTTAAATGGTTTCCCATTCAAGCAGTCATATGGTTAAATGCTTGAAGATTAAACGCCGGCTCCTATTGACGTTCTTTCTTGATCCTGTAAATAATACTAACGTTTTCTCAAATATTTAAGGGGTATCACAATCCCATCATCACGTCCGAAATACACAATGAATGGCTATGCTCCGAACTGCAGTTGTAGAGCAATGATAGCAATTTTCTAATGATTGACGTTTGTTTTTGAAGTAATTGCAGAAGTTAATACAGTTCATTACAGTCTGTTTCTAGGTGTTTTGGATTCTTGACCTGATATTTATGAACCACTTCGAAGTAAATTTATACCCTTAAAGTTCACAAGGTATGAGGGTGAATTCCAAAGCTTCTCTTCACCAAAGCGTAACTGCTTTACGTAACTATCTGTATGAACGTCTTATATAGGTATTTTTATTAATCTCAAGTATCTGGTCTTCCAAAGGTTTTAGTTCTATAATTACTGGTACAGTTATTTTAGTAACTGACTGGGTTAGGTTTAAACAACATTGGCAGAAGACATCCTCATATCAATCACTGATTTCTAGTTCGATATGTCACAGAAGAGTTTGTTTGGTTTTTGTGGTTCAGTAAAATCTAGGTCAATAATAGTGTTCTTAAGCAGTTCATAGGGGCCCTAGGTGTCAGTACTGTGTTATTTCTGTTTTATTCATGAGTTTGTGTATATTGCCAACAGTTGTAAACAGACATATGTAAGAATATCATGAAAATTTGCCTCTGTATAAGATAACTATTGTTTTGCTATAAGTTGCTGGAATAATATAATTTCAATTACACAACTTAATAGTGAGTTAATACGGATTAGTTCTCGGGCCAGTAAAGTAAAAAAATAAATAGTACCACGACATACTAACATTTATCAAAGGAGTGTGTAGTAGATGAAACTTAACGTTTCAAGTCACGTTTATCTTTTATTTTGTAGGAACAAGACGGGAAATAACAATCATCAACTTTCATCACTTTTAGATGCTCTCAGTTCGTCACTTGTTTCACAGTTGCGCAATGTACTAAAAGCGGAAGAGGTAGACATCTTTTTTTGTTTCTTAATATTATTTAGTAATAGTATTGTTTTTCACTGAAATTCCAGCTACATTCTGAACTTAGCAGCATCCATTATTTGTTTCACCTAGTCACTCTGCATATCCTTTTTGCAGCCTTATTCGACTTTATTCCTGTTCTGACGACTGTTTACGTTATGGTACTCAGTCTTCAATCGTTAAGTTATTCGTATTCATTTCTCTCTACCTGCTAATATTTGGATAGCTATAATGTATTGATAATCGTTACACAGCAACTATAATTGTTTGGCTAATATTATTTTATTGATAACTATTTAATTTTAACATAATATAAAATCTTGTGTTATAAACTCCAAGTCACAAATGATATGTGATAATACTTATGTTATAACTTGTGGCCGTGTGCTCCGTTAATGTATAACGTAATGATACCGCCAATTAGGGAGCAGTGAATTATCGATCGTACCAATGACACTTAAAACCCGTGCAAGCAGTCTAGAGTCCTGCTTTCCGCCTAGCCCAGCCAGTTAAGTCCAGAACACAAATCTCAGCTTCTGCAATATGAATAATTTATTGCAAGCATACTGGGTTTACATACCAACCAGACAGACCACATCGTACCAGTGAAATATGAAGCAACATTTGTACAAGAATTAGCCAAATGTGGCTTTGAATGAGGGAGGTAGTAATTAATAGACAGGGCATAATTCAAAAATGGGAAATCGTATAATAATAGTTCATAGGTCAAAATAAAGCTTATAATAAGAGGGATATGAATATGAATAGTTCAGTTAATTAACAATTATACGATAAAAATATACGTTTAGTATTGGTCCATAAATGAATCCAAAAAGTTACCATTCATTATGCCTATCGGGACATAACAACTTACTTATTTAAAACTAATATAAGGTTAAAATCAGTACCGCGATTGTTTAAAGCCGAGTATTTGAAAATCAGTTCAAAACCTGCTTAGGAAGCTTTAAAAGGTGCAAAATATTTAGTTTAAGAAATTCCACTTAATGAGTAACAGAGTCAAATTTGATGTATTTGTGGTTGTGGTTTGGGATTTGGATTCCAATTAATCGGAAGTTTGGCTTTTTATTTTTATCTATCTGTATGTTGTCAATTTAGATACGTAATTGTATTCTGCTATTCATAAAACTTCAAGTTACTGAAATACCTGACTAAACTAGCATTGTATCTTCCTTTCGTTGATAATTGTTTATTACGATTTATTTAAAAGCTCACTGGATTAATCACTAGAATACAGTTTACCGGTTGTTTTTCAAGTTTCCTAAGTAACAACACTAATGCATCACCTTGTGTTACAACCCTTCAGCAATTGGTATATGTTGTGTCTCAAGTTTCATGACTATCTACCATCTGAATAAAATGCTTATTAATTGTTAGAACAATCATGAAGTTTCGTTAAGTATAAGTTGTTAGTTTTACATAGTTACTATCTGATAATCTGTTTTATTTCTTTCCAGGCTTTTCTTAGTACTAATAGTACATTTTCTAGTAGACCACAATTTCGTAATTCATTCTGCATTGATCAAATTAGAGAAGGACTTATCGTTGGTTACTTAAATTTTCTTGTTCAATTTCTTAGTGATCTAGCTAAGGTAAATTCACTTTTATCGCAAGTTTTTCATGTTTTGATTTATTATATTTATGAATATTACACAGATATGTAGTGTTTCAGTTCTCATCTTTTTCCACTAATCCAGGAGGAAAGATACTGTAAAACTCAGTTAAGAAGTAACTGTTGCATATCTATCACTTATTCATTAATTCAGTTTTTGCATTATACTATTGTGTTTATTTCTGATAATATATTTTTAGTCGCTCGTAGTAAAATCTTGAATGCTCGTTTTTTCCTTACTCTTCAACGAAATATATACTGTCATGTGTTGATATTTGTACTAAAGTAATGTCAACTCTTTTCGAAAGGATACTAAACTGCCTTAGCTTGATCTCCTCTGTCAGCTGTTACTAAAATATTGTCAACTTGAGTTAAATTGTAATATATTATCTGCAGTAGTAGATTCACTTGCTCACAGAAACCATCTCATTATAATTAGCTAATTAATATCGAGAACAAAACAGTTTTTCACGATGATCTCAAGTAGCGTTAGAGGTACATGGACCCCTGTCTACTCCCTGTTCCCCTTACCATGGAACGATACGCAACATGTCCTTACCTTATGCTCTCTATATACGCTAGGGATTTCTTATTTCTCGTTTCTTGCCTTGTTTTTCTTGTCTTCTTTATCCTGTTTTAGACAGCTGTATGCAAAATTCCGGGTCCTATTTTACTAACACTTGGAAAATTATGTTTAATGTGGGCTGATTCTGGTACAGTCGGACATTTGATTTCTCTGGCCGACGATTTTATGCTTTTCGGTAATGATTATGTAATTTTGGTAATCATGATAGCGATCTTTAAAATTAAACGTCTTAAAGAAACTAAACTTCATTGATAATGGTTATTTGGTGAATAGTTCACTGAAGTAGTTTGTGACTTCTTGCATAATGTTAAGACAATTTAATTGGAAGCTGTAGAAGATTTCAGTGTACTGAGTAAGCGTTTTAGTTTACTCTCACAATCTTCTGTATTGTGCAGTCTCAATGTGTGGTGAAGAAATTCCTTAAATTTGAAATAAATCGTTAGTTGTATTCATATGTAAAATAAGTAAATGCAACGGTATATCTGTTTAACGATTTTACGTTCTATTTTATGATATGTTACTCATGAATTAAGAATAATATATGTTTGTGAAAACTAAGTCGATGTAATGCAACATGAATTTAGATTTGACTGTAAGAACTTGATTATCTAAATTGGCGAGTTATAACTCAATAGGAAGGTTAATCTCTGCCATTCCTATTTGACATGTATATCACCTTGATCAGTCTATTAACCTAACCCTGAATAACAGTGATTATTCATTTCTCCTCGCATAAACATACTGTGTACGTAGATTCTAATTATTTTATAATGTGGCTTCATTGGGGAATGGATATAATACATCAAATAACAATCTCATTAATCTAGGATCTGTAAACCTTCCAGATTGTCAACCGAATTTTCCACAGTATGATCAATTTCTTATGATATCAAAACGTTTCCATTATCAAACGCCATATGATTAAGGTCAGTTTATTCACTTGTTTTTTTTCAGGCTCACAAACAAAAGAACCAAAAAAGGAAGATTTTAATACAGAGAATGGTAACAGATCACTCACTACTCCAAAAGATGTATCAAATCGTTTCAGGTCTGCTGGTAACGAGCTTCTAGTTGCTTTTGTTCGCTTAGAAGGGACAAATTTGGCACAACTACTTCGAAAAAGTGTTGAAGCAAGGGATTGGCTGAAAAATTTGGAACCACGTACAGTCCGTTCTGCAGTTAAAAGAGTGATAGAAGATTTAGTATCACTAGATCAACAAGTACGTTAAATACTGTTAACATTTAAAACTAAATTTATTGTGATCATTCATTTTCATGTGACTTCATCACAACTTATTTATCGTTCATGATTACAATATCTGCGTTTTTTTCTAACTGTCGACTTGGGTTTTATTTGTTCATCAGTGCTTTTGGTGCCTATTTTCATCGCAATTACAAGTCAAGTTCATATACTAATTTTTATCTGTGTTCATGTTTAGGTCAGCCAGCTGTTTTCATCAAATGCTCGTAATCGTGATCGTATTTCTGATTCACGTTCCAGTCGTAGTCTACGACCTAACACTTCATCACATCTTATAGACGCTACACGAACTGGAAGTTCAAGTCAAGGATTTCATTCTCCTGACTTAGATCCAACTCTAGCTACTCATTTACGCCGTTTATTTACGCAAAGAGTTGATATTTTTACTGCAGTTGACGCAAATCGGGAATCATTACTTTTGGGTGTCATTAAAATAGGTTTAAAGGTTAGCCAAGTTTTCAGTTTCAGTTTTTGCACTGCATATTTATTGTATGTTTTAACCAAGTATTATCACTTTGTAAGATTCAAAAAAGTTGTCAATAAGGTGAGTAAGAAACAGTGAATTCCACTATCCGTTTTCTTTCGATAGGGCTTTATACAAAGTTTTATAGTGAAATTTAAAATAGTTTAATAGTTAAACTACGTTAAGAGTCAATTAAACAAATATAATCCATTTTTCTTGGAAACGTGCTTGTAATCTAGTCAACTTTTCACATATCTGATTAGTAAATGTTTTGTATCAATTCACTCGATGGAAGAAAGGTTGTTAAATGCTTGTGTACGCATCAACTTAATACGGATTCACTCAATCGATAATCAATATTTATTTTCATCTGTTTATGCGACAACCATTTTCTTGTCATAGCTTGTTTTGTTCAACTGTATGTTATGAAGTAAACCCTCCAAAAATTAGTAGCTAAACAGTAGTTGGTGTGTGATTATTAGTTCGAAATTTGAATCTTATATAACTTTGAATGGTTTTGTATTTCACCGTTAAGCACTGAGTTATGGTGTTTTACCACTAAGAAGCTCAATGTGTTATTAGTTATCAACAAGTCGTTACCTAAGTATTTCCAGAGACATTGTCAATTCCGTTGCCTTTTACTTCTCTAAACTCTCAATCACCAGTATCTACATTTTGTGATAGTTATGTGCAAAATCAATCCATCAATTCATTGATTGCTGGACTGATTTGTGTGAACAGGTTCAGGTTATTAGGTTGGGGACGGATGAAGGGGCTCAGGATCAAAATGGGGCAACCTATAACCGTGTTGTTGAGTGCATATGATCTTACCAGTCTCTTCATTCTCATCCCTTTCTCCCAGTTCATGTCCCACCATGATCGGTTCATACCGGGTGTTTTTTCTTCTCGGCGTTGGCGTTTACATCCTCCATCAAAAGAGACGAGTCTTTTTGATCATTTCTTTAAGTCTCTCATAAAGCTGATCTTTATCTTCGCCATGGGTTTCTCACCCCATAAGTGCTTCTCATGTTTCTTAGGACGGTATCAGTGGAACTTCTTGTGTGTGGAGCGTTTTTTATTTGATGACCACCATACCGTAACAGCACTTCTGAAGTCAGTCTTTTTTATTCAGATTCTATTTAATGGTTTCCGCTTACTCTAAGCATGAATAGTTCGGGAGGCAATTTAAATGACCCTCCCGGTTTCCCAAATTTCGTAGGTATCCCATGTACTCATATTATTTGTTTCTCTTTGCTGTTTCAAGCATAGATCATTGACAACTTTTCTAATGCTAGACTAAGCGATTTAAGGTTCGGATCTCAAAGCTTATGGATTGTTCATCCAGCTTCCATAACCACTAGCTCTTTGAAACATTTTATATTGTTCTACTGAGCTATATTGTTTTTTTTTGATGATTGAAACTAACTCACTGCTTCTCAACTAATTTACTGTTAAACGGCGATACGTCAAAAAAGACTTTTTTAAATTCATTTACTTGTTTAATTTCTAATGATCTAGACTTTGATAGAGTGTGCACGTTTGCAAACATTTGGCCGTTACGGTTTACAACAAATACAAGTTGATTGCCGATATTTACAAATTCATTTGTGGCATTTCGTAAATGATGAAAAGTAGGTTAAATTTGATTGGACTGAGTGAATAATATAATTATTTGATATTTAAACGAACATCGATCATATTTGTTTAACGTTATCGACAAACAATTTTATAATTCATGGGGATATGTGTGCTAACACTAAATAGTACACTCCCCCTACGTGACCAAGTTATTGATTTGACGTGTTCTGGAATTTTTCGATGCACACTGATACTATTCACACTTGTTTACTATGTCTTTGAACGTCCATTTCTGGCCATTATGCGCAATTGCGTGCAATTGATTTCATTCTGGCTATTCCTGGATGTTCAGTATGTAATTGTTTAAATACCCTCTTCTGTGATGCTTGTGGTATCACCACACATTTTCCAAACATAAGGCAGTTTCCAACTGTGCATAGAGATTACCGTTGTTGAAATAGGTGTTTTAGTTTTTCATCTAAAGACTATGGCCATTTATTTTGAAGGTAATGAATCGCTTGTTGAACGGTCGAGTCTTGTGATATCTGTTACTTGGTAAGCTGCTATGGGAAGGGACTATCACTGCATACATGGAATTGTCTTTTGCGTAATCAGCGACACAAGCTTCGTTAGTATTAGTGTAATTACTTATTAAGCGAGCTAGAGTGTCTGCCCAACAAATATCTTCTGTCCTATAGTATTGAATGTCAAAGTGATATCTTAGCAACGTCATCGCCCACCTCTGCAGTTGGTTTGCCGAATGCGCTGCTATTCGAAACCTCGAGCTAAAAACTGTTACTAAGGGTTTGTGGGTCAGTCAAAAATGTGAAGCATCTTCCATATAACATTTTGTGAAAAACAACCTCTAACGCTTCTTTTTTGATCTGTTTGTAGCGTTTCTCTGCTGGTGTTAGTGTTACATTTTCCACTCCATTTGGAAATTTGTGTGAAATTACTGCCCCCCCACACCATATGCAGACGCATCTGCTGTAACCATTAATGGCATTGTAGGAGCGCGATGGGTTAGTAGACGGTACGATCCAAATAGTGCTTTCAATTCTTTAAAAGCTAGTTGACACTGCTTTGTCCATTCCCGCTTAGTATTCCTTTCAATTAGATGATTAAGTGGTGTTCGCTTTTCATGCAGGGATGGAAAAATGCGGAGTAATAACTGACGAGTGCGAAAAATGAACATAGAGTCGGTAAATTGTGTTGGACAAGTATTTTCTTCATAACGAATGTGGAAATAATAGGTCAGAGAGGAAGTCTTTTTTGAAGTGGCTGTATAAGGCGAGAGATGGATACGCCACAAGAACCAGATACGTAGAAGACTCATCAGAAGGAACCAGAACAGCTTTAGAAACTATCATTGACATTTCTAAAATTTCAAAAGAAATACCAAAAACGATACAAAGCGGAACAGAAGTACTATCACAGGAAAGTTATTACCACGAAGAAATAAATATTTACGAACGAAGGCTGTCAAATTTAGAAGCAGTGAAAGAATCCCCAAAACGGAGAGCTGCTAAGGAGGTCATAAGAGTAGTCAAATTTTATTAAACGCTAAAATTTCATCTGGAACGATAATCTCTTTCACATTTTCTGCCAACTCGATCCCGCATGACTTTTGCCCTCTGATCAATTGCAGTCCTAAACATCAATAGGAAGATTCAAACAAACAATACTAAATTAAATTAGAATTTATTGTTAATTAGATCATCCTGTCTTTGTTCTATTAACTGAGAACTACTCAAAAATGAACTGTCATTGCTCGTAATAGGTCATATGAGTGCACACTTTTGGTTTTGATTAGTGTATATAATATCATTTCTGTTTTGATATTTGAGCTCATACTCTATATTAAGAATAATGCATCTCTTTTCTCTAGGCTTATTTGTATGTTATTAGAAGACGTGATCTACAGTGTTGTTCAGCGTTGCATTGATCCATGTTTCATGGAAGAGAGTGTAAGTTTCATTTTATTTTTTTAAAAAGTGATTGTTAAGATATATTACTCCAAAGAAGGTATTCAGTAATATATATGCTACAAATGTTCTTTAAAGCTATCCACTTTTTCTGTTTAACTTGTCTAACAAAACCTTATGCATTTCTCAAAACCTATATCACTGCAAATATATTTTAACTACCTGTTCTACTTGATACTCGAATAATTGACTCCAAATGGCAGGACGTTGTTTGTCTAGTTGATAGAAGAGTGGTACAGTTTGATGAATATTGTTAGCTTTGAGTAAAACCGAACATTTTTCACTTTGTACGATCTCATTATTTTACATCATTGGAATGCGTTTGCGAAGTGGTATGCATTCGCTCGCCTATATAACTGAGGTTGTCGATTTATATTTAGTACATTTAACCGTCTATATTCGTCTTAGTGTAGACTAGTTTACTGTTTAGTTTTTGGTGTGCGAAATACAGTATCAAACCATTCTACTTTATTTAAACTAGAGGGAGCAGTGACCTGGTGGTCAAAAAATTTGGCTTATAAACACTAGGTCGTAGATTTGGACCCACTTTATCGACTTCGGTTTGAACAGTGTGGTAATAGGTCACTAATCCTCATACCTAAAGTTTAGTTCAAGGATCTGTACATCAATTTGTACTTGTTATGTGTACTAATAATTTTTACAAATATGAACTATTTCCATCATATGAAATATAGATAATGGTTATTATTTCAATTGTGCGACAAAGGTGTTCATCTTATTCGGTGCGGTCTGTATCATAAATGTAGGATGTTGAGGATAATGTCCTGAATTAAAAAGATACTATTGTGGTTGTTAAATTTACTGGTCTCAGAATATTTATGTGTGGTTAATATATAAATAGTAAGTGGTCATACAATGTATATTAATTAGCTGAGGTTAAAAATCAGATACAAAGTGCTAAGCTTAGTAACAACAATCAACTATCAGCACAGATAAACTGAAAATGAACAGGTCAATTTGACTGAGTGCTGTTTGGAATTAATGGATGAAGTCCAATAAGCGAATTCTAGGATCAAGATTTAGTTACTCATGAGTAATACATTTACAATAAAAGAATTTCACGACGATGCTTCGCATAATCGTATTGAGTATGCAATCACTGACACTTAATCGTCCAACTTTCAACGCGTGTTACTCCTCGTGGAGGAGCATAGACCGCCCACCAGCACTCTCCATCCAACCCTTCCCTGGGCGATCCTTTCCAGCTCTTTCTAGTTGCTATTCATTCTTTTCATATCTGCTTCTATTTCAGGACGTAATGTGTTCTTTGGTCTTCCACTTTTCCTTTTCACTTCAGAATTCTAATTAGGGCTTGCCTCGTGATGCAGTTTGATGATTTCCGTAATTTTTTTCCTATCCATTTCCATCGCCTTTTCCTAATTTCCTCTTCATCTGGAAGCTGGTTTGTTCTCTCCCACAGTAGGCTGTTGCTGATGGTATCCGGCAAACGGATGTTGAGTATCTTGCGTAGACAATTGTTTATAAATACTTGCACCTTCTTGATGATGGTTGTGGTAGTTCTGCCCGTTTCACCTCTGTACAATAGATTCTGATTTTGATGTTAGTTGACAGTTGTTTTGAACTCCATATGTTCTTCAACTGTAGAAATGCGGTCCTTGATTTGCCAATTCTCGCCTTTACGTCTGCATCCGACCCTCCTTGTTTATCGACGATGCTTCCCAGGTACGTGAAGGATTCTACCTCTCCCAGGGTTTCGCTATCAAGTGTGATTTGGTTGGTGTTCTCTGTGTTGTATTTGAGGATCTTGCTCTTTCCTTTGTGCATGTTGAGGCCTACTAATGCAAAGACTGCTGCTATACTTGTTGTCTTCATCTTCATTTGTTCGTGTGTATGGAATAGGAGGGCTAGGTGATTTGTGAAGTCCGAATCGTTTAGTTGGTTCTGAGCTGTCCATCGTGTTCCGTGTTTTCCGTTTCTTTAGCTTCAGTTTCATCTTTTCCACCCCCAGGTGGTGGTCTGAAGCTATATCAGCCCCTCTCCTGGTTCTCTGTGGTGTGGTCCGGTGAGATCCATTTAGCTTTGTGTATGCGTTTGTGTGGGAATATTTTGCCACTTATAAAAAAGTTGTTGAACGCACGTAGGTTTTCAAATCTCTCCACAATCTCGTTTCTCTCTCTCAGTTCATGTCGTCCCATGATATCTTCATATTCGCTGTTGTCTATTCCGAATTTGGCGTTTAGATCTCCCATCAGAATAGTGAGGTACTTTCTTGGGCAATTCGCTATGATTGATCGCAGTCTCTCATTGGATCGATCTTTATTGTCGTTGCTATCATTGGTGGGTGCATAACATTGGATAACATTCATTGTGATCCCCTCCTTCTTTGTTTTGAATGATGCTTTGATGATTCTAGATCCGTGAGATTCTCATCCTACAAGTGCGTTTTGTGCTTCTTTGGACAGCATTAGAGCAACTTCCTGAGTGTGTGGATCATTTTACTTTTCGTGACCGGAGTATAACAGCTTCTCTCCTGTATCTAGCCTATGCTGTCCAGCGTGGGTTTCGTTGATTCTCAGTACTGCTAATTTGTATCTCCTCATTTCCGTTGTTATTTGGCTATCTTCTTGGTCTCCCACATTGTCCGGACGTTCGATGTACCTGTAAAAATGTTTGCCCTGGTTGTTCGAATGGGCATCGATCTCGGCTTTCATCATGAGGCTTCATGATTCTTCTTTCAACTCCCAGGGCAGAGTTTAAATGGTTTAATTTGTTTAATCAGTTTGGCGTATTGTTTAGCAAGATTTTTTATACGGGGTTGGCATCGGCAGAATGACACTTAATAGCTAAGTATTTATCTTCCATCATTTATTAATTTACTCGTAATATCAGGTTTTCACTGTATTTATAATGAAACATTCTATTGATTATGAACATTGTTAGAATTCCCATCAATCTAAGTCACGTTTTTTTTCATGTACCTAATGCTAATCTCTCCTGTTCTTTTGCTCTTGTTTTAGGTTGTCGAAGCGATTTGTGATCGAGCATAAAGTTATTTAATTATTGCTTAATTCTCGATAATAATCGTTTTGTTCTCTCGAGTTGAAGAAGAAAATAATCGATGTGTAACTTCACTTGTTTTGGTGATATTCTTTCCTTGTGGGATATTTTCATCCGTTTATTATTATTATTATTGTTATTATTCTCATCATTGTTGAATAATGATCCATATTTCTTGGTATAGGAAAAAGTTAAATTTAAAAATTCTAATTGTAAATTATTTGTCATATTGTGAAATGTTACAAATCCCCGTTTTGTTTTTTTTTTATTATTTTTGTACTGAGAATTGTTTAGCTGTGTTTTCCGATACTTCAATGTGATACTTTTTGTTTTATAAATTTTCTTTAACTAACTTTGATGTTAGTTTGAATTTTCATAAATGTTTACTAATTTGTTTTTGTTGAAATAATAAACGTTCATGGTCTCACCTTTTTATGTGGTATTACCTTTGAACGGCGATTTCCTCGCGAAATCGCTTAAGTGTGGTAAGAATGGTCGATTAATTGACATTCAGGTTAAACGTATAGATCGTAAATCTGTATCAACTTATGGTAAAAACACCATGCTCCCAGGAGTTGGACAGGACAGTGATTAAGTCAGTTTGCAACACCTACCACCAATGAAATCCATGACCGTCTAATTCTAGTAGATTAGCCTGAGGTACATTGGCAAACATCCTTCTAGACTTAAATAAACTAGTCTCAGAAAAGAATATAAGATTGTTGCAGATCATTATATTCTCAGAGTATTTTATCAAGATGACACGAAGGTAACAGTTGGATTATTATATGTCTATTATCAATCTCTTTAAACCTAAAAATGCTTCAACCACAAACCAACAAAGTCGAAATGCGTCGCCAAAAATTGAGCACGCATTCCAATTAATAAGTAAAAAAATCATGACTTGCAAGTATCTCACTTTTCCTATTACTATCATGACAATAAAGTAAACCATACTATTAATAGTTCACATCTGTAAAATTTTTATGTAATGTAAAATAATACAAATACAACAGAGTATTAGTAGTTATATTTTCAATTTGTTTAAAGGAAAGTATTTATGGAAATAAATATCCGGTCGCTCAGTTGGAGTCTGGTTTATTCTTTCCAATTTTCATAAAGAAATGTACAGAATTCAGAGAAGTCAATCATTTGATCACAATTCTTATCAATACTTTGCATCCACCGATTTAAAGCGTCCTCAGATACACGACGATATCCTAGTTCCCGTAAAACGGTTTTAATTTCATCTAGTGATAATTGTCCTGATCTATCTTGGTCAACTTCATTAAAGGTTCTTCTCCATTGTTCAACACTAAATATTCATAATGTTAAGAATTAGTTTTAAACATTACCCAGTATAAGTGGAATAAAATATTCATATTTTTTTGAACACCAAGTTGTACAACATTGATCAAAGTGCTAGATATTCTAGTAGTATTGATCGAAATAACTAAAACCGATTGTTATTTAAATACTTTGAAAGATCATACGATAACAATATCCGGGTTTGCTTATTGATTTCATTATCATAACTTCAAGCAGTCAATAAACACTGATGTTAAACTGACTGCTTCATGTTTTCCTGCAGCAATGATTTTTCAAAACTAAGGATTTGTCCTTGTTTCAATGTAACATTCCAGTAAACTAGATCAATGTAAAATATGAAGTTGTTGCAGCGATAGGTGTCCTCACGTAATGTCATCTAATGAGATCAATATTAAAACATTAAAAACCTGCAAGCCTTGTGCTACCGTTTCATCCTAATATGGGGCTCCTCAGCGGCGCACTCCGTTTTGAACCCAGTATCTCCGATCTCACAAGCGAACACTCAACGTCTAGACTACTGAATCCACATCTAACGGTGTCTGACTTCAACTAATCCATGATGTTTCACGACCATCTATTCTCTTCAGCGGGTAACTTCTTTACATACGGCTTCTCATTGGGACTTCTGGAATCCTCTCTCGTAATAACCGTTCAGTGCTTCCGAATTTTCATAGTTTCAATAAAACTCAACAATCACCACAACCCTATACTAGTGGGATTATAGTTTAAAAGAAAATGAATATTATGCTCTATACAGAAATGTGACATGATTTGTGAGAATATCTAGACTCCGTTCCAAACCATATTGTGTGTAAATACTAGTAAATATTAGCTCTACAACAATATTTTGAAATGTTTCATCAATGCGTAAGTATGTTTTTAGTCTCAATATTCCCTGAAACAAATTCAACGAAATACCGATATTGCAAGGAAACATAATGTTGAAAATTGGTCCAATAATTCAACCAGGGTTATTATTATGTAGATAATTCAACAATACATAAATAATAACATTTGTTATATAATTAATTACGAGCTAACGAAAACCAACTTGTCCTTAATAGATATTGTTACTCAAAATTGTCTCTTACTAGAGATCATAGTACTAACACGGTAACGAGTTGACTGACGCATAATGTTTTCAATATTTCTTTATTCCTTACATAATTCATAATCAAATGGATAGCTAAATCATGTTATTTATTGAGTGAATAGTCACTGAATACTTGCATTCATTCTGATTAGCTACCCGAATGGTTGCCCATTAAAAAAACTAAAACGCTGTTTATGTACTAATCTTAGGGATTAAAAAAGAACTTTTAAAGTTTGTGTGGTTTTTATTATTACGAAAATAATAAAATAGTGCTATAAAAAATCAGTTTCAGTATTTGAGATGTTGGTTATATGGATTTTTTTTTATGGCGATAACAATTAGATGGTAATAAAGTATAAAATTAATTCCTGTCTGGATTTTAAATTCCTATACATAGGTGGATATTTCAGTTATATAAAATTATAATTTTTTCTTTGTATAAACGTCATAAAAGGTCAGTAATTCAGTAGTTAGAAACTTCAGTTTGAATTAAAAAGCATCTATAACGTAACTATGATTAGGAGTATTTCTTAAAAAAATTAGCTTGAATAATTAAATAAAAACAATGACTGAAGGTTTAATAAATAGGGATTTATTAGAAATAAATTTTATCCAAATAATTTTAATTAGTTGAAGTTAGACATTAACACCTCTGGATGCCGGTTGGCTCAGTGGTTTAGTGGTTAAGCGCTCGCGCACGAGATTGTTAGGCCATGGGTTCGAATCCAACCAGGCGGGGTCATGGATGCGCAATGCTGAAGAGTCCCACAATAGGGCAAAACGGCCGTTCAGTGCTTCCACGTTTTCCATGGTGGTCTAGCTTTAATTGACTCATGACCTCAACTATTGAAATTTTAATATATAATGCAAATATTAGCCGTCATATCAAAACGTGTATGATCTCAGTATCATATATGTTGTGTAAGAGTGTGGAAGTCCTAATAATCAAACGATATATCACTTAAAATAGATCGTTAGGTGGACTGGAATCGCTTTTCAATCAAGAATAATGTATTGATTTTTAATAAACATTCACAGAAAATATTTAACCTTAGGAAATGTAAGAAATTTACAAATACAGTTATCAATGTTTATGTATTTAAAACTGGAAATGAAATCGATCAGCTGTGACAGAAACTGATTAGTTTAAAACGACTGGATGGTAGAAGTTTGCGCTGATGACGTAGTTCAGAAGAACGATGAAAGTTCCACAACAAAAACATCTAGCCCAGAGAACAAAATTCCATCAAAATCATCCACTTGAGCTACAAATCTCCATTATTTCAATATATATATTGAAATTACTTGATCTTCGAATACTTCATTTTTATTTAATTTAGCTTTGCCAGTTTTTCCGACTGATGATGTTTATATAAATCAATACATTTTTACGAAATAAATTTATTCAATAAGATATTTGAAAAGATTTGTAGACTTGCAAGTCTACAGATTATAAAACTTTTTGATTTTCCAACCATTGTACATTTATAATAACATGTAACCTACTAATAAGTTAAATGAATATATTTATGGTTGGTAGCTTGTCTTCATACCTTTACAAGTTATTAAAAACCTATTGTGCAAATATTCCGATATGTTCACATGAATGCCGAAGAATCTCGGCTTTCATCCTGAGGCCTCATGATTCTTCTTTCAACTCCCGATGCAGAGTTTAAATAGTTTAATTTGTTTAATCCATTTGGCGTATTGTTTAGTCCAACTCTAATTATTTACGTGTGTTGAAGGAAAACATGTAACCTATAGTGATGCTAAATACCAAAAAAACATCTAACAATGAAACCTTATTAATTGATATCATAATATCCCTAATATATTTTCTTTTAAATAGAAATGTAATTATTTATAAACGTAAGATCTAATACAAAACTTTATCTTATATATATATATATATATATATATATATATATATATATATATATATATATACAAAGTAGAATCAAATTTCATAGTTGACATTCATCAATAAATGTAAATGATATTTAATAAATTATATGAATTAATATCACTTATTCTATAATAGAAAACATGTAAAGAGTTACTTATGCCTGTTACTGCCAACGGAGCATAGGACGCCGACCAGTATTCTAAAACCCACTCTGTCTTCCGCCTTCCTCTCTAGTTCTATTCAATTGTTGTCCATCCTTCTCATATCTGTCTCCATTTCTCGGCATAATGTTTTCCTTGGTCTTCCTCTTCTCCGTTAGCCATGAGGACTTCAAGTGAAGGCTTGTCTTATGACGCAGTTGGGTGATTTCTTCCATGTGTTTCCTATCCACTTCCAGCACTTCTTCTTGATTTCTTCCTCCTCTGGAATGTGGTTTGTTCTGTCCCACAGTAGGTTGTTGCTGATAGTTTTTGGACAATGTATCTGAATCATTTTACGTAGATTGCTGTTAATAAACACTTGTATCTTCTAGATGATGGCTTTCGTATTTCTCTAAGTTTTCACCCCATACAGTAGAACTATTTTGACTTTGGTGTTGGTTGACAGTTGTTTTGAATTCCAGATGTTCTTCAGTGGTAGATATGCTGCTTTTACTTTGCCGATCCGCGATGTGTAAGTTTGAGTTGGTCCTAATTTGAGTTTGATGATTTCATGGAAATCATAATTTAGCTTTTAGTCTATGATAATCCAAATATTAATTATTTTAGTTATAAAAGAATGAAAACTCATCCTTTTTCGTAGTATTGAATAGGTAAAATAAACTCAATATCATACACGTTGCATAAGACTATAATATTATATTCGATACTTGAAAGCATTTGATCATCTTTAATAATCTTATTAAATGATGAGATACATCCTCAATTTTATGAGGATTTAGATCATGTAAAACCAGCTATCAATAAGATTGTTTAGCTTAAGAAAATGGTTTTGACAAACAGAAAATCTTTCATTTTCACTAAAAAATTTTTATTTTGTTGAACGATGTTTTAATGGCCAATAATTTACTGAGGCAAGCAGTTAATTATGATTTTTTTGAGCACAATAAAAAGTTCGGTTTCTTGAATTTTCGAGTATTTTTTTTCTCTCGTTTGTTTAACGGGTGAATACTGAATAGAAGAGCGTGATTTTTACTGTAGATTTCATTTTAATCATCTAAAGCTACTTACGTTTTATATGAACACGACATTATAGTGCATGTCAACTTTTAGTATGAAAAAAACAAACAAATCGGGTAAAACAGTTTAAAATGAAATCCTTATTGAAAATTTCGCTCTTATATGGAATACTTTCCTGTCGAGGAAATCAATATATATTATTTACTGAAATACAGATAAGCCGGAAGAAGTTCAAGGACACATATCTTCTACACCGACAACAGTGAAATATAATTTTTCGGCATTAAGATAAGTGTTTTCTTAAAGTTGAATATGAGTACTGTCAATATATACAATTAAATTAAAAATATATAATTCCAGTTTTCAATCTTTATTTCTAGTGTTTTTTTATTTAACATGTCTCATTCAATAACTAATAAATAGTTACCTTTATAGAATTCTAAAAACGTAGCCATTCTTTTATATATAAAGAAGAATTGAGATACTATATTATTAGTTTACATCGATTTGAGAAGCATATGATGTTTTTAAACATCTTATATGTAATGTTATCATATAGTACTGACAAATAAGTATGATAAAGTGGAATGTTTACAATTTAATAATCACGTACAAAAATCAACATAAAGTATTCTCGAGTTTTAAAATGAGAATTTCACAGTTATTTCAGAATGAGTTAATGAAACGTACTTTATATACAATTCATAGACAATGATTAAGGTGGATCATGTAAAAATTCGAAAAAATAAATAATTTTTTATACAAAAACTATATAATTAAATTTGATTATTAGGGACTCAAAATGTCAA